ATAAGGGGACTCATAGCTTAATATTAATGGCAGTAGTAAATGCCAATTTGGAATTTATTATGTGTGATTTTGGAATAAATGGTCGCATATCTGATGGAGGAGTTATTGAATACAGCAGTTTCTACAAAAAACTTGAAAATGGCCAATTACGTTTACCGCCACCAACAAAACCACGAAATAGTAATACATCGTTGCCTTTTGTTTTTATTGCGGATGAAGCGTTTACACTTCGCTCAGATTTCTTAAAACCATTCAGTCGACAAGACCTAAATAACGAAAAAAAAATTTTTAACTATCGATTATCGCGAGCAAGATGTAAGGTGGAAAATGCTTTTGGAATTTTGTCTAATCGATTTAGAATTTTTCACACAAAGATTTCTGTTAATTTAGAAGCAATAGACAAAATAGTTATGGCAACCTGTATATTGAACAATTTTTTTTTTCTACAAAGAAAATATTGATAATGGGACTATTGAATTGGGCATACAATCAACTCATGTTAATGATTTACAACAGGGCCATAACCGTAGGCCGACCAATGAGGCAAAAAAGATAAGGGAGCTGTTTATGAATTACTTCAATAATGAAGGTGCCTTAGAATGGCAACAAAGAATGGTGCATTGATTAAAAATTATTGTATTTAGAAATATTTTTTAAAGTATAATAAACTAAAAGACTGATTATTTGACTTTTACTTACCTCCCCTTCATCCTCATTTTCTTGGTCACTTTTCCGTTCACTTCCCCGATCATCCATATTGTTGACTGATGCCCGAGGAACTTCTTGATCTTTGCAAAACAAAAGTAAATCGTAATACCACAAATGGGTCACGTAGGTTTCATCCGTTCCTGCACCTGATCGTTTTGATTCTTCGATTTTTTTCATTTCTCTTCGAAAACTTCCGCGAATACTATTTATTTTAGCTTTAACGGTGTTCTTTGTCGCATTAGGTTCAATCTCTTGCAGTTTTTTCAGTAACACGTTATAAACGGCATCTTTTTTACTCCTGTTCATGTAACCTTTACATTTTGTTCTCCACAAACAAGGAAAACTTTTATAAAGTTCAATGAATTCTGTCATAAAATCTTTTGTAAAACTTCTTAAATCGGACATTTTGGAAGTATTACGACATAAATAAAAATATCACATACGAGACACTGAACCAAGAAGTTATAATAAGCAAGCGTGAAGTTTACCTACACACTGGCAAGCATGTATGTACGTTGATGCGTGCACGTTGATGAATTCAACTACAAACAGAAAACTTCTGCGACGTACATGTATGTAACAATTTGCCCACACACTAGCGAATATCAACGCGTAAACGTGGTTCACATACATGTATGACGCACATGGTTGCTAATTTGTGGGCACCTTTACTAGCTACACAATTCAGTGGAATTGAGCACAAAGTCAGTTTGTTGTGACTCAGTCTTAGCACCAGCTTTATAATTTTTGTGTTTTTTTTTTAATTATGAGCTTTTCTAGATCACAAGATTGGAGACGAATAACGTTATTTGTGATGAGTTTGGTAGTAATTATGACTAGATATAAATGTATTTAGCAGCATTATGTTTATAAAGCTACAAAAATTTGCTGTGGTACCGACGGATAAAGAGCAAATGGAAGAAGACGTTGTATAAGCAAAAAAGTTGTGGGCGTTTGAGATCAAAAATACAAAAGTAATGTAGCAAAAAGGTTTTTCGGTTTACAGAGTAATTCCAAGTCATTATCCGAAGAAGACTCCTCCGATACAACGTCATCGAATCCGTCGTCACTCAACTTGATCTTAAAAACTTTCAAAGAGCTGTTATATATCAAAGGATAAAATGCAGCAAACATGGTCTATGAAGAAGACTGTAAAAATTAAGGTAAGCTTTTATGATGGCGAGAGCCACTGATACACAGAACACAAGAAAGGGGGAGCGGGGATGAACAAGGGTGTCAGATACCAATAGTTCAGTGACGATTCAAGAGATGGTAAAAATGTATGCTTCTTTGACAGGTAAAGCTTCTATAGTCACTCTCAGGCGGTAAAACTCGACAGTATTGCCCTGCCGACCTTTCTTGTCCGAAGTGTGAGATTATCCAGAAACGGTACACTCACTAAAACCCCTCAATCGTTCGCCACACATGCCCCACCACGATAATGCTTGCAGCATTTCATCATAGTGTATTAGTCATCTTACTGTCCATCGTACACATACATACATTAATTTGTACCTCTGTACATGTACAACCGGCAAAATAGGAACCGTCTATCGGTTCCTTTATCTCTTTTTGTGCTTCTTTACCTTACTCAGTATCATTCGCCTAAGTATTGGTTGAATCCCAACCCACTTTCCATCGCTTACATGCTAGGCAAAATTGTCAGCAGTGAGCCACTCCCGAGCGTCAATTCCACCTGTCTCTGGTAGTCAACCTACCTAGCACATTCGAGTAGGTGATTAGGAGTGAATGTATGTCGTTGAAACGAATATATACTAAGTGACATATGAATCCGAACACCCAGTTTAAATGGTTTTATTTTAATAAAATTTTGTATAAGTACTTAATGAAGCATAATGATAAAAATTTCAAAATGATTGCACTGCTTTAAAGCCCTTTTACCTTTAATAATGTGTGGATGCACCCTGATGTGCTACGCATTCTCCAACGCGCCTAGGCATGCTTCTGATCAGGTGGTCAATGTCCTCCTGTGGTATCTCATTCCAGGCAACCACCAACTCCTCTCCGAAGTGCTTCTAGAGTCTAAGGAGGATGTTGCAAATTGAGCAATCTCCTACCCATCATATCCCACACGTGCTCAATTGGGGATAAGTCGGGAGATCTTGGTGGCCATGGTAACAATGTGACATCATTATGTTGAAAGAAGTCTATTGTGACTCTTGCAACATGTGGTCGGGCATTATCTTGTTGGAAAGTTGGATCTGTCAGGGTGTCAAGATAGGGTAAAAGATGGGGTTCTAGAACTTCGTGGATATAACGCTGCGCGTTCATGTTACCTCTGATGAAGATTAAAGGTGACCTGGAACCATAAGCTATAGCACCCCAAACCATAACTCCAACAGTGTGATGAACATGTCTTTCAACAAAAAACTGTGGATTCCTCCTTTCACCACGTCGCCTTCTAAGCCTGGCACGACCATCGTGCATGCCTAAACAAAATCGAGACTCGTCACTAAAGACAATGCTGTTCCATTCCTGATCCCAGAGTGACCGTTGTCTGCACCACTCAAGGCGATTACGTCGGTGTTCTCGAGTTAAAGGGAGGACCCAGTGTGGCCGGTATGAAAACAAGCCAAAACTTCTCATTCGTCGGTAAACACTTCGCATGCCAATAGGTCTTCCGTGTTCTGCAAACCATTCATTTGAAATGGACCTGGTAGTGGAGAAACGGTCCCTTAAGGCCAATAATCTTAGGCGGCGATCTTCACGGTATGTTGTTCTACGGCGGCGTCCAGTGCCCCTTGCTCTTTGCGTACGGCCTTCTCGAAGTCATGCCTGACAACACCTAACCACAGTGTCTACACTTCTTTGCACTCTAACTGCAATTGCCCGAAAAGAAGGTCCAGCTTCCCGAAGTCCCACTATACGGCCCCTATCAAACGCACTAAGTTGACGAAATCGTACAGGTCTCCGTACTCTTGGCATCGTAACCGATCGTAAAGGATGCCAAGAACCAAAATCCGCCAACGTTGATTTTTTACTGCGGCTGAAATATTCATTTTTAGAGCGTTAGTGAATTAAAAAAAAGCAGTATAAAAACCGGAATGTCCAACTGATAAGGCTGAAAATTTTTTCACTTGATATTTGCTGTAAGATAAATAAATTCACCAACTTTTATCAAAATAAAACCATTTAAACTGGGTGTTCGAATTTATATGTCACTTAGTATATAATAAATACTCTTTTGAAAACTATTTAGATCTGTATCTGACAGCGCCATCTGAAGAGAGCGATCCTGAGTCACCATAAGCGACAAAATGATTCAACCATATCTACGCCCTATACTTGCGATTTATCATGTACCACCTTTTGATACTATACTGCTTTCAGTTATTTCTGAAGTTTAAGCAGGAGCTTTTCGGCGTTATTCCGTAATCTCCGAAACAAGGAAAATGTTTCATTAGTAACCTCCTTTTGACATTTTTTCTATACTCCAGCTAGACACCACGAAGGCCTAAAGCCTAAACACCCATGGGGTACCGTGGGACTATAGGGGGATACAGGGGAAAAGGGGGGACGCCACACGAACTCTAGCGAGGGAACACGTGTGCATGCAGTATGCACACATTCTGGCCCCGCCTACGAGATCCGCCGGGTGGTACTTCCGCATACGACAGTCAGAGACCGTCTACTACCTACAACAATCATAACATCCATAGCCAAGAAAAAAAATCCTCTTGGGACGGGATTCGAATCCTCGCAGCCTATTGCGACTGATCAGGAGGCTACCACTGCGGCCACCGCTGCTGTCTTCTGAAAAGCGGCAAAACAACTTTTGCTCAAAATTCCAAAATATCCGAAGATATTGTTAATATGATCAGACATACACAGTGCTAGTTTTTATCTAAAATTTAATTTGCTGCCGTTAAACTGTACATATTTGCAATCGATTTTAATTTAGCATGTATTTGCATTTATAATTCTTCAATATTATCACTCACACAATGATATTTAAAGTCAGAAAATATCGCTTCCAATAACAGGAGCTCATGGGATACTTTACGTATCCTTCCACCTCTTCTGTTATTGAGTTAGCTATTTACCACTTGCATACCAAACTCCTATCCCATAGACAACGCAATAGACTATATAGACAAGTTTGGAGTACAACCGGTCGTTCAGACGAAAATTAAAGGAAGTAAAATTGGGTAACTGGTTGCACTGGTGGCTCTACCGGTGAATTAAAGAATACGCCTTAATGCTCTTGACATTTCAAACAGTGATACAACTGTGCATTTCTGATACCTTGTTTAGTTGTTATCCTAGACGGGTGTAAAGGTTATATCCCCCTGGGTGTCATCAGTTGACAGAAATTTGAAAAAAGCATGTTAGTTTTGAAATTTTTTCTATTTATCTCATCCATTTTGACGAATAGAGTGGTCATAGCATGCTTTAAAATAAACCAAGCCGACTTATTCTCAGAAAACTATGTAATCTCATCATCAAAAATTCCTACAATAGATTTAGCGACTATAGGAGACACACTGAGAAGTGGTACCTTCACATTTGGAGTCTGTCCAGAAGAAGTCGTCTGCCTGGAAGTGCATCTCGGAATGAAAAAAATAAGCATTTTGGATCAAGATTTGCACATCGATCTTTTTTCCAAAGCAGGAACTAATAAGCTTAGACTGGACAAAGTAAAGCCAATATTTGTGGAAGGATATGCTCATGGTCTTGATGGGGAGAACCATGTCTTTGGTTACATAGAGGATAACTTCTTTTATGGACAAATCATGACAAGTGATAATATATACTACATAGACGATATAAGAGGATACTTTCCACGAGAAAGCATAAATATGTCTAGGTATAATGCCGTGGTATTCAAACGAAAAAGGTAAAGATGATATAGATATTCATATACTCGCATTGCTGCAAGTGTTAAAGTCCTAACTGATGCATTAAAAAACCAATATGTACAGAATCTTACATATAATTCAAAATATTCGAGGTAGATATTTTTTAAAACATTAACAAATTATTTCGTAAGCAGGTTACAGTACTATGCGACGAATGGCTAGTTTTAGAAATTCTACGGTCTTCAATCCACACTAAGCGCGGCCATACAAATACGGAATTTCAATTCGTATTAGCCCAGGAATATTATATGTAAATTCTACCAAAGGCAATGTACTTGCTTTTTGACAGGTTGTCGCCTCTGGTAGTATAGTTACATATGTCTAACGGACTTCTTCTGCAAAAAAAAGAATTATATTTATGTTACATCCAAGACTTGGAATATAGATCTATAATTTTACTTTTATGTCATTACTATAGTATTCGGTATGCACAAACATTGTGTTGCACGTTTTTGAAATTTTTGTATCAAAACTTCAATTCAGATGGTATATTCACACCTCCTGAGTTTGCGTAGAAATTACAATTGAAAAAATCTTAGTGAATGTTTGAATGAGCGTAGGTATAATGCTGGAACAAATGAAAAATTATTCTTGAAAGAAACAAAAAATATTGTTAGAAGATTCGCTGGCGACTGGTCTGAGGATGGATCAAACCCATATATTGACCCTGACGTACGGTACATGGAGTTTCTGAAAACTGGGTACGTTTTATACCAGTCTCTATTTCTTTAAACGAAGTATAATCATCAATAAAATTACCTCCAGGAGCCACATTTTTTAGATAAATAGTGGTACTCATAGTAACAGCGTCTCATTCAGCATTTCATATTCATTTGATTCCAATCCTACGTTGTGTTCTGAAGCAGCATACAATTTTCAGCAAAGTTTGTACTCTATTCGTGCTGATGGACAAGTCGTTCCTGAATATATTACATGATGACGATATTAAGTCCGCTGTAACAAACATCTTGCAAAACATAGACCAAGTGGATTCGATATTTCGTTCAACCGATTTCAACAATGACGGAGTTCCAGATAATATTGGGTTTAAAGTGAAGCACTTAGCTGTGCTAGTGTCTGAAGATAGCCCAGTTAATCTTATTCCACCCTATACCAATATACCGATGGCAGGTAAAATCGACCACAGGCCAAAATGACTACGGTAGAACCATGTTTTTACACTTTTAGGTCCAGATTACTTAATCAGATTCACAAATTACGAGATTCTAAGAGACGTATGTTTAGGAGTTGCATTCACAGCTCAGTCGTTCCAGAACAATACCTTAGGTGTCAGTTATACGGCACTGAAACCCGTTTTCTACCATAATGTTTTCAAATTGCCTGTGGGAGGTATTTGTGATAGACCTACGTTCACTGATGCTGATGCTCATCTTAATGTCCTAGTAATATCAAGCAGACTACCAAATGGTAAGCTGCAATATCGTATTGATACTTTAAAAAAGCTTAAAATGAGGGACAAGATCGACAATGGAAATTACTGATGTAATTTAAGACACATTTATTACAGGCAAAACAGTTCACCCACGTTTGAGCACTTTGAGTCTTGCACACGAACTTGGTCATAGTTTTGGTGCTCCTCATGATACCCAGGAATGCAAAGGATATCTGATGGGTAGTCACACACCTGAAAAAGAAGAGAGGAAAAACTATATATTTTCTGAGTGTAGTAAACCTCACATAGTCCAAACCATCTTAAATCAAGGATATTGTTTGGAGGACAGTGAAGAAGCATTCTGTGGAAATGGTGAAAGAAAAACTAAAAGCTCTACTTAAACGAGCAATGCTTAAACTTCAACTTATTTTAAGGTATTGTTGAACAAGGTGAGACATGCGATTGTGGCACGTGGCGAGACTGTGCAGAATTGGATGTTTGCTGTATACCAAGAGGTGAAAAACACCAATGCCAAGTTAACTGGCTGAAGCAGTATCAGTGTCACCCTTCTCAAGGGCTTTGTTGCACTCAAAGATGTGTATATAAAGACTTAATACAATATGGCGTGGTAAGAAGAATTTTGAAATATTCATCTAGATCGGTAATAAAAAAACTATAGTGCTAACCATCTTTCTCATTCATTATGCGACGTTATTTTAGAATCTCACCATAGGCTATGTTTCTTTGAATTTGAGTAGATTGACTAAACACGTGAACAAGCATCAAATCTCACAAATCCTCTTAACATATGTTTAATTGAAATGATCTATTTTGTTTACGATCCAAGAATTGCAAGCGCTTTGAAAAAGCTTGTCCATGTCCTCCTGGCGAAAAGTGCACCTGTGGAGTTGATTCGGAATGTATTGACGACACCTGTCATAGTCTAGAGTGCACTAGAATGAATTTGGAGGAATGTAAGTGTCCTTATACTGATGTCAACACAAACGAGGATAACAAATTTTCGAAATGCCATACATGTTGCTCATTCGAAGGAAATTGTGAAAGGTATAAAATTTTTTTAACGGATGATAAGACAGCACCAGAATCGACCACTGCGTGAAAACAGTCTACAGTCTACTCGCCATTGAACAAACTTGTAATACAGGATGTTTCAAATCCGAACCTCATCATGGGGATCTCGGAGACTGTAAGAAATACGAAGTCGCTTTAACGGGGGCAAGGTTACGTATTTAAGTAATTAACAAAATGCCTCTTAGAGAGTCTTGAAATTCGAGGTACTTCCGAACAGAGACGAAAAAACGAATTTGCCTAAGATCGCTATAATTTTTTTTACACATTAACTTTGCCACTTTTTCTCTTCTACAGGATAGCATTATTAGAATTCCAATACGACGTTTTGTCTCTTGTCCTCCAGCATCAACTCAATGGACGCCTTATTGGATTTTTGCACAAATGGATAGTTGTCACTCCTGATCCCAAAAATGTAAAAAACGTCATACATTGACATTTCCAAACAACAGTTATTTTAAAACAGCAGAATTTCCTAGGTAGGCCTTGAAATTATTACATAGTCGTTTGTTTCACATACCAGTATTATCCCAAAATCACCTCTATTTTTTCCTGATTTTATTTGAGATGAGATTTCAAAATAAATTGCATGCTGTCGTTGTTACTTGTTCTCATCTACAAGATGGCGTAGTCATATTTTGAATTCGACATTTTTTCTCTCGACATCCATCAGCAACTTTGTTTTTTGAGTAAATGGACTTTTCAGTCCAAAATTCACTTACGTATTTCCTTAGGTGCCCATGCATTTGTTACTGTATGAAAATTATAAAGAAATAAAATGGTATGGTAAAACCTGAACACAAAATCAAATACTATTGATGGTAATAACAATAACCATCATAAATAAGCAGCGGTATATCATAGCATACGTTCAATATGTTGTCCGTTATTTTGAAGGCCTGACTTTTCTCTGTATATTGTTAACTGATTGATTTATTTCTATTCTTCTCAGTCTTCCACATACGCTGTGTTCAATTTGAGGTCTGGCCTGGAATACGAAACAAATGAAATCTGAAAATTTCAAGGCCTACTTAGGAACTTCTGTTTTTCTGAAATAACTGTAGTTTGGCAATGTCAGTATATAACATATACATTTTTGGAATCAGAATTAAAAAGTATATTCATCTGCGCAAAAATCCATAAGAAAAAATAAAGTTGATGCTGGATGTCAAGAGACCAAACATCATATTGAAATTCTAATTATCCGAATATTGTAGAGGAGAAAAAGTGGCAATGTTGAGGTGCAATCTATTTTTTCCGACTTACTTTGAATTTCGAAACTTTCTAAGTATCATTTGTAGATTACCTAAATACGAAGTTTTGCCCCCATTAAAACGACTTCGTATCTCTTTCAGTTTCCGAGATCCCGATGTTGAGAGCCGAATTTGAAACACCCCGTATACAGGCTTTCATTCGTCCGACCACAAACGGCCAATAGACAGCTTGGTGTTTTCACTTTCGTAGTGGTCTATTCTTCGCGCTGTCTTACTTTGATATAAATGATACTCTGCATAGAGTTGATCAGCTTTTGTTCCTTGTCCACCAAGACGTAGCCTACAACATACTGAATAGTTTTCAATTAGCACGAAACAGCTGACCTTGGATGGTCATCTGCAGTCGAACGAGCAAAAGCTATATTACTAGTTTGGATGATTTATTATTTGGTTACGTGACTCACGATTTTAACGTCAAAAGCAGATCAGCAATAGCTTTTGGCAGTGCATAATATACACTACTAATGCCATTTTTTTTCCAAAACATATATAATATAAGAATTGCCACTAAAGTGCACTATAACACTCAGAAAATAAGACTAATAGTAAAATTGAAGTTGAAGAAAAGAATTTTTCTTAAATAGATCTTCTTATTAATTGGCTTTTACAAGTTGAGGAATATCCAAAACAAGGACAATTTTCATCTCCATTTTAGCTCAAGTACCGTTGTTCATACCATTGTGTCTCGAAAGGAAGATATAACTGCCTATCTAAAGCAAAACTACACTTTTAAGAAGTTCCCCAGAAGTGTCCGGATCAAAAAATTTGGGCATTACAAAGAATTTTGTAATCAAGCTGGTAAGGTATTTTTAAAAAATACATAGCGTAACAAAAATATGATGTACTCTGATTTGGAGGAAATTTGACGTGAAGTGTTTTTCATGAGGAGAGGAGAATATGCTTATCATCCTGATCATAGTTTGCTCAATTTTTTTATAGGTGGTATCAACAGCAGTTGTACTCTGTTATTCTTTAGAGAGGTGATAGAAAAAGATTATTGCATACTTTTTGGTAAAGTAGGAACCTGCAGAAAGTCTGGATGCGACGTACCAGGGATTAGACAAATATATCCAGTTATAATAAAAGCCAGAAGCATTTCAGGATCTACGAATCGATCCGTTGAATTTTCCATTACTTCATATATTTTTTTACTATTAGGTACTACTTGTCAAATAATCTTAGACCTTTATCAGAAATAAACTCGTGCCAAAGTTTAAACGACAAAACCTTTATTTATATTAACATGTGTATAGATTAGACTGATTAGAGTATTGATACGTCGCCTTTTCAGTACAGAACTACCCCAAGTTTGTGGATGTCACATTTTTTACTACAATAAATGAATTGACGTTTTTTTGAGGATCACAGTTAAACAACATGTATCGCTTCCAGTGTCGTTACAAATAAGGTTTATCACTCTTTTTACAAACAAATTTGCGGTTCACGCTAGCAGCTATGTTTTCAACTTGCTTTCAATATATTTGAAGGAAACATCATTTCTCTATAATAATAAAAGGGAGGTTGAGAAAATTCTAACAAACGAATGTTTTCAGACTGTTGAAGGGTTTTTGGATATTTGAAAAAATTCCATCTACTCGTATATGTGTTTGCTATATTTCAACGCTGCTTTCTTTTTAATGTGTTTTTCCTAACTCTGTTCTGATGCATTCAATGTCATCTGACGAACAAAGACTATTTGTATTGTATTTGTCCTCACAGCTCCTTTACACATACATAACATACAGAGAGATCAAAATATCACTGAAGAGCGCGAGAAGCGTGCAATGTGCGACTGAGTCCCTGGCCTCGTCACACGGGTTGTTAGGTAATGTGCTTCTATCTCTTTCTAACATACGTATTGTAGGTATTCGTACTTCTCTGTCATACATAATCGAATGTGTGGGTATTCTCTTGTGGATCTGCGACATAAAACACAAAAGTGCCTGAAGGCACATTTACAACGTCGACAATTTGTATTAGATTTTAAAGAAATGAATGAACACAACAGCTTTCTACCTCCCAACTAATGTCTGTGTGCAAATATTAGTAGCAGCTGTGTTAGGGATCGGCTTCTGCAGTGTACAATCCACCTCCACATAACCTCCTCACTCCACACAAGGCTCAGATAAGACCTGGCCTCCAATACTGCTTACATGTTTGGGGTACCGCCGCCCCGACTACATGCTCGATACTGTTCAGAAGAGGGCTGTCTGAGTGATCAATGGCTCTTGCCCAACGAAAAGTCTTGGGACCCTTTCGGACCGGTGGGCCGTCGGCGATCTAGCTTTCTTCTATCGCTATGTCAATGGGCTTTGCTGCTCAGAGCTCTCCTCCATGATACGGCCGCGCGAGCAGCCTGACGGACACACTCATCTGACTTCGGCTTCCCTAACCGTGTCGAACTTCGCACGCATCCTTTGTTCCTAGGGTATCGATATTGTGGAACAATCCACCTGAAGAGGTTTTTCCCAGTTCTACTAACCTTGGTATTTGCTTTCAGCCTATGCGGACGAGGCGGTATAAAAAAATCGTGACCGCGAAAAATCATAGAAACAAATATATCCCATTTAATGCAGAGGCAGTGTAGCTCAGGACAGTTATGGAAGTGATCTTAGTTAGGAATACGAACCATTTTCAGTATACTTATGGAGCAGCAATGTATCCCATGCCCACGATCTTTCTTTAACAATGACCACCTTTTAAAGTAGTTGAGATAATTTGAAGTGAAACGTCTTCTCTACTATGCACGTAAAACAAAAAAAAATCTCATGTAAAATTGTATTTTTATACATAAGCTCCTTTGCATTCAGGCTACAGAACTTTGTATTAACTCCACGTATATCTTCGGAAAGTAGTTTATATGTACGCACTTCCGAATCACATATGGTTGAACGAAGTAGTCCCTGGCATTAGCGTTTCTGCAGGTAATAGTTAATGGGTTAATGTTTTCCACTAATATTGCTGATTTATTATAATAGGTGGTTCTTCAACAAGTAAATCTAGCCGTAATGTTTCGCAACATCTGTGGTTCCATCTGACGGCAAGTCAAACATGAATTGTTCATTTTGAGCTTGAACTGACGTGTGGAATAGCACACCCAAGTAAGTTTATCAAAGAAAGTATATGTGTTTTCGGTGATTATTTAACTGGCAAATCATTAAACTTACCATTAAACATAGGGGAAAGTCGGGCATATTGTACCGGTTTTGGCGTCAAAACATAAATATGACCGAACAAAACATATAATCAGCTGTTGTTCATGTTCATAAGAGTTGAATTCTGATGGTTTCTGTTAAAGGTGCTTTCACAGTAAATATTATACAATCTCAGATATATGCCTTTGTATCGAAATGATTGCTTTCTGGTAGCCGAGGTGGAATTTTTCTACCGATGGGCGCGTCATGTAAAAAACACCATTCTTTACGCTATATAAGTGTAATTTTATATATATGTCTTGGTATTCATGTAGATAATATAAGACTGAATACATACGATAGTAGATGATAGTTCAATAGGTCGCTTGCATATACGCAACACCAGTAAAATTGAATTTTGAATAATCGGAAAAGGTACAAATAGATATGTTTGATAGATGTATGATTTTTTGTACGATGCACAAAGTTATAGGGAAAATCGTCAATACATACTTTGATTGTCAAGGCCATTATAGTTTAGCTTAAAGATACACATACTTGCTTACTACTCATTCTTACTATATTGTCTGATTTGATTTATACTTATATTGCACAAGTATGTACAAATTGGTAAAATAGAGCGTTGAGAGTCGATATGACAAAAGCTAAAGATGGCGGTGTCTTATTTCGACGACAAAATTCAACTGACTTATGTGTTTCCAAGGGACATGTAGCTGAATTGCTGCGTTTGAAAAACTTTTTTTACAAATACAAGACTCGACAGATTTGTTCAAAAAAAATGTTTAATAATTTCCACCATATTGCTTTTAAAGCTGCCAGTTCAGTAATCTTTTGACGTTTCCGAATAAACATAACGTCACATATCCTATTCTATACACTGTCTTCACCATTGTATATGAATTGTTTACATTGTATACAAATTCTATACACTATCTACCCATTCTCTACATCGAAAGGCTTTACGTAATTATTGATCATTTTTAAAGACTTTATGCAGGTGAAATTGAACCATATCAAACCTTTTAAGAAAAAATAAAACAGTTAGCGCCCATCATACCGGTTTGGTAATTTGTATCACCATTTGGTTTTTTAAATTGTATCTACGGGAATGTTCTACGGGTTCTCCTATCGACCACATTTTTTTTGTGTTTGAATTAAACAAATACTGACACTTATTTGTTATAATGATACATAATTTTTAAATAACACTCTGAAAACTTTACAACAACGCATTTTTTGGAAAGAGGTTCTAAGGAAAGTCTTAGGATAACAAAGGTAATTTGTCAATGACCTCATATATGACCTCCAAATGATCTCTGAGGACATTGTTTAGGTCCATATTTGAGCTCAGCGACATGGTTTTCAGATGTCCTAAAATCTTTCTTAGAAACATTTTCCTAAAAAAAAACGCTTGTACGAAAATACACTGTGATGTAGAATCTCGAGCTCGACACGAATCTGCTACTTTTTACAAACCTGACCTACAAATGGTCTCTAAGGTAATTAAGGGCATTACCTAGGTCTTATTTGATATCATCAATATATTGTTTTTCTGATATCCTGAAACTTTTCTTAAGACTTTCTTTCCAAAGAGTGCGTGTTTGCCAGACTTTGGGGTATTTAATAGATACCCTGAATATGTAGCCAAATCGACGATAGGTCCGCGGATAAATTGATGCCTACAACCTTCCTCGGGCTTCAATTAGTAAGCATACAAATTGTTTATATCGGTATTGTGGTTCAGACGTGATGCTGACAGACATTTACGTTTATATACCATATAAGGTGTTTCAAATTTGACACTCACCATTGAGATATCGACAACTCAGCATCATGCCGCTTACAAAGTTTCTAAACGTTAAGTACTTCTGGAGAGAGACGGAAAAAACGAATTTTTCCAAAATCGATTTTATTTTTTCCGACTTTATTTGTAGTAGGATTTCATTAACATTGCTACTTCTCTTTGCCTACAATATGACATAATTCGAGTTTAAGTATAACGTTTCATCTCTCGTCCTCCAGCAACAACTTTATTCTTTCTTATGAACGCCATATTGGATTTTTACACAGATGAATTGTTTTTAATTATGATTAAAAAAATGTAAATGACGTATTATTCATTAACTTTGCCAAACCTTAGTAATTCCAAAAAAGCATAATTAACTGCTTAATTTTATTTATTTATTCTTTTTATTCATTTATTAAGCTTAACGGAAAAGAAACAGTCTATTTATTGCTCCTCTTCTAGACATTTTAAGCGCTCAATTGTTTTTATTTATTTAAAATAGAATTTTTTTTTTCATGTTCGTTAGATGTCATTGAGAATTTGTTTGTGTTTGTAATGACTCCTATTTTATTTATTTATTTTTTCATGTTCGTTAGATGTCATTGAGAATTTGTTTGTGTTTGTAATGACTACTATTTTATTGATTTATTTGTTTATTATTTATTATCTCAATTACCGTTTTAATTAACTACCTGTTCTTTTTTTTGCATATCGCATACTTATGTATTGTATATGTAATGTTGACAAGTCTTATGTCATAGCTATTTATGACCAAAAGACAATAAAGACTATCTATCTATCTAGTATGTAGGCCTCAAAATTATCAGATAGTCATTTGTTTCGCATACTAGATTTATCCCAAAATCACTTTTATTTTTCCCTGACTTTATTTGAGATGGGATTTCAAAATAAATTGCGTGTTGACTTTGATACTTATTCTCCTCTACATGGCGTAGTAAAATTTTCAATTCGACATTTCTTCTCTGGACTTCCATCACCAACCTTGTTTTTTCATATAGACGCTATATTGAAATATTTTACAATTAAATGGATTTTTCAGTCGCGTATTTTTTTAGTTAGACATGAATTTGTTGTTGGTTGAAAATTATAAGGAAATAAAAAAGTATGGTGGAACCTGAACACAAAATGAAAATGTTATTGACGATAATAACAACAATAACAACAATAATCATAAATAAGCAGAGATAAATCACAGCAGATGTTCAAAATGTAGTCCGTTATTATGTAGCCAGAGCCTGAGTCTTCT